AGGAAGGCGGAGGGAACGGAGGGGGGGGGAGAGGGAGGGGGCACGTTGAGTTCACATTCGCGCACAGAAGAGCCACGTTGCTATACATCGAACGAGCTGAAAATATTATGGATCAGACAATAAGATTCTCACGAAGACAATTCTCCTGAAGACCATTATGAAGATATTTCTCATCAAGATCATTCTCATGATGACAATTCTCATGATGACAATTCTCATGACCGAATTTAGGCATTGCAATGTATACATTCCCACGAACTTGGGAGATAACTCCCAAGAAGATACTTTTCATGAGAGTTTACATTTCTCAAGAGAAAAGATAATTAGTTCTCATGAACACATTTAGGGATTGCTATGGAGATATATCGCCACTAAATTCGATGGTAATTCTCATGAAGATGAAAATTCTCATTAAGATAATAATAATTCTCATCAAGATGAAAATTCTCATGAAGATAATAATTCTCATGAAGATGAAAATTCTCATGAAGATGAAAATTCTCATGAAGATAATAAATTCTCATGACGATGAAAATTCTCATGAAGATAATAATTCTCATGAAGATGAATATTCTCATCAAGACAGTTCTCATGAGCGAATTGCGATGGGGGCAATTCCCACTCATAACTTCGACGACCGAAGAGTTTGACAATTCGATGATAATTCTCATGAAAATGAAAATTCTCATTAAGATAATAATTATCATGAACAGTAATTCTGATAACTCTCATGAAGATCACTCTCATGAACGCATTGAGTGATTAAGACGAAGAGACATTTCCCACTACATTCGACAACCAAAGAGTTTTATGAACGAAAAGCAATTACGGGGGGTAATTACGGGGGGTAATTACGGGGGGTAAGTGCGAGATGACGGGGTCAAGAGGGGAGATACAGAGCCACGCTCCACGTCTTCCCCACACAGAGTAAAACCGTATTCTTGATACAACAGATATTAATGTATTTCAAGCCAGGGAGGGGAACGAGGAAGAGCAGTGCATCCAAATGATTGAGGGAACGAGGAAGAGCAGTGCATCCAAAAACGATTGAGGGCGTGACCCCCACAGATCTTACTTTTTGAAAAAGTCCCGCTGCACCCCCAGATTTCGTGAATCAAGGCCACAGCGAGATTTTCACGGTCCCCACGGGCCCAGTTGGTACACCCTTGAGCTGTTGAAATACAGACAGACCCGAGTTCCAGCCCCGCGCTCGAATCCAGATGCAATCAGATGAACAGAACAACATACAGTAATACTCAATTACCTGGGGCCGGTCAGTTTAATGACGATATCTCAAGACCGTTCCCCTTTTTAAAAAAGGGAAGAGAGAAAAAAGGAAGAGGAAGAAGAAAGAAAGAAATAGAGAGACTTTCAGCGTCCCAAAGTGAGCACTGCGACGTCTCGCCCGTCTTCTTCTTCCATGAAGAGACCAGACGAGACCAGACGAGACGAGACCAGACGAGACCAGGCCAGACGAGACCAGACGAGAGACCAGACGAGACCAGACGAGACGAGACGAGACGAGACGAGAGACCACCAGACGAGACCAGACCAGACGAAACGAGAGACACGGAGTGATATGTGACTGCACATTTGTGAAACAATTTCCAGAATGATAATTCAGAGATTTGCCGTTATTTTTCGCTAGACCCCTTACCGAATACGACAAGGGGCCACCTTAGACCTCGTTTCACGTAAGCCATTCATTCTTTCATCATCATTCCTTGAACAGTGAAGAGAGAAAGGGGGGGGGGGGAGGGGGGGAAGAAAGTTTGCGCTCCTACAGTTTAAAAAGATTTCTGAATGCGAGAGAGCCTATGTACATGTCAGACGCCACACCGGGCTGAACTGAATGATGAAGTCATTCATCAACAATAATCCCAACTGTGCTGCCACATAGTCCTACCAATTGCAATTCCCCGCCTTGCGTCCTCCTCCTGGTGTGGTCCCCACCGACCTGCATCCTCCTCCTCCTCCTGTACACCACACCACCCCGTCTCACCCTCTCTCCTCCACTCCCCTCACAAGACCTTCACTGTCATGCTCCGCTCTCTCTCGATTCATCAAGAGATCGCCATCGTGTCAATGATTCGTTAAGATGCTCTCGTCAAACTGTCCTCGACGTACCGCCGACGCCAACTTCTGCCTTAAATGACGTTGTCCACATATCAGATCCGTTCGTGATATCTGCTGCTGCATTTGTCAGACTTGACAATATCCACAACCTGTGCGTTTGCCTGCTCCTCTGCGTTTGTCTCTTTTCCTGCCTCTCTCTCTCTCTCTCTCTCTCTCTCTCTCTCTCTCTCTCTCTCTCT